TCAGTGGTCTCGTTAAGATGTTTGAGGTAGCGTTTATCGACCTTAAGGAGACTGCATACATTTTGACGTTGGTTATCTAAGGAAATCCTGCTATTTGCATAGAGGAAATAGCTCAGAAGCGAACTGTGCAAACAAATTAAGCTTGGAAAAATTCAACGCAGTTTTCTATTAAGCTTGTCTCACTTGAAATGAATTTAATGCAGGTACAAATAAATGATGCGATAAGGCAACAAATACCGAGCGTTTTGTGTAGTAGTATACAAAAATTCATCGAGGACGCATCACCGGCGCTATTCAAAGTTTGTTTTATGCATTTTCAATCAAATCAAAATCGTTCATAACTTTGGAATAATTTCATCTGATCACAGCAGATAGAGTCTAATGTTTCTGCACGATTCTTACCTCGTCGTTGAACTTGGTGAGCCAATATACTGCCAGGCGGGATCATGTAATGTGATGATGCTCTCTCAACAAACTGTGTGGTTATTTGAAGAGACTCGCTCGTGCGGATCTCAGTGATCAGTTCAAAACCCCTGGGCCAATCGGTATTCCGGCAGTGGAACGCTTAGTGCATCGATTCACGAAGGGACTTTACATCGATAACCGAAACATTGCTGATCCAACAATTACTTACGATTTCTTTGAAACACAACAATCGGGTCAGTCAATAAATTCATACGCATTCAACATATACTCACAGCGCATTTCTTGCGGTGAATCCAAATGTTTTAATTCTTCCCAAAGCAAAAAAAAATTCCAAGCAATGTGATTGGTTCTGCACCAATTATCTCATCCTGCAGATGAGATAATTGGTGCAGAACCTATTATTGCAACTGCTGTTATAATATCAAAAATTTTAATCACCCTGATCTAAAGAGCAATATCGCAATCCAGTCAAAAATCTTCCAAAAAACTGCATCTGAAGTCACAGATTTTCGTAGATACTTCAGTAAAAATTCAAAAACAGTAAAAATTCCTGAGATTTTAATTTCGATTCCTATCATATTCTTTCACACAGTTCAGGTGAGATTCGATACGACGATAATCCACGCCGTACACCGTTCTTCCCGTCTCCAATGCGTACCACGAATGATTCTGATCGAATGCTCTACTTTTATGGATCTGAATATTTGTTTAATTCGTTGCTATTTCATGCATATGAAGGGAATCGACTAATGCTGGAGGTAAGGTCCGTTCGCATCGAACTGATTTAGTTCAGCAGTGCAAAAAACGGAATCAATCCTGAAACTGATAACAAATTAAAGTGTCATTCCCGGAATCGTGATTTCATTAGCAAACTGCGGTTTATTACTCTTTCATTGATGTATTTTTTCGTCAAGATGTTTGTAAATTCAGATTGACGAATCATCGTTGCCACCAACGTATAAACCACTTCTGTGGACATCGTGTGCGAAGCCAACAGGCGGAAACTTTTTGGCAACGTTTTGTCTGGGAAAGCTAATTCCGGCAATCGCTGAGAAATTCCCAAATGCGACATCATCGTTCGTTCTGATTCCACACGAATTGCCTGTATTCCAGTTGATCGACGGCATTGGCACAATTGATCTGAAAAGTTTATTTTTCGAAGTTATATTTGATCGAATCGGAATCACTTGTTGAGGAATGCAAGTTTCCGGAAAAAATTGACTGTAACATACACTAGATTTGCCAGGCAATCGTATAACCGAGAAGTTAGACATTATTTCTTATAGTATTGGTGCGGTAAACGTTTTATGAGGGAATATTTGAATTTCAGCAAGAGTCTTGACGTATATTAATGAGGGAAGACGACGGCGACAAATTTTAGTGAGTTCAACGGATGTAGTTGCGGATTTACGCTTGCTGATTGATGATCACAATTTTGCTGCAGACTTTAAACTTCATAAACTCGCAGTCGGGTGAGTTCAATGGGTTCACTTCAGTGGGAGAGCATTATGATTTTGAATCCAGATGCAAGCTTTTTGAGTGGAAATTTTCAGAAACTTGTGCCCGTTTGGAATTTTTTTCAGAAATTAAAGTTTGGCTTTGTGGAATTTCAGATTGCATCGAAGTGCAGTGGATGGTATCAGTAGTGAGGAAATTTCACAAATGGCACCACTCGCTAAAACCTTCCTTGGTCCACAGCTGTCGAAAGCACTACGCAAAGGTCTACCGTTCCCACTACAGGTTTCGCTACAAATATTTAATTCGTTGTCATTATTCAATCACGTGCCAATGTCTTATTTCCGATACATGTTGTTGTCTTAAGCAAAAAATCTTCATAAATGATCCAAAATGAAGAATAATCAACAGATTGCATCATCACGTTCTCATATGATTATATGTTTCTGTGTAACACATAAGATATGCTTCTGGTGATTGAAGAACATTTG